GCCCAGCGCCTGGCCGCCCCATCGCCACGAACGCGGAGCCGGCCACTCACCCAGCACGGTCAGCGTGGCGTTGGCAGAGATGCTCCCCGCGCTGTTCTGAGCGGTGCAGCTGTACACGCCGATGTCCTCGATCTTCACGTCCACGATGAAGAACACGTCGTCCTCCGGCATCACGTGCATGCGCCGCTCCCTGGCGGCCGGGAAGTCCGTGCCCCCGTCCTTCTGCCAGGCGATCTGCGGGGCGGGGTGGCCCAGGGCGGCGCACTCCAGGCGGGCCGTGGCCCCCGCGCGCACGGTGAGGTCCATGGGCGTCTTGGTGAAGGACGGAAGCACTGGAAGCGGACAGCGCACCCGGCGTCAGCCCGCCGCTCGGGGCGCGCTCAGTCTGCCGTTTGTGCCCGAAGACGCGATTCACTTACACACACAGGAGGCCAGAGGGGCCCCAGCGACAGAGCGGGGGCTCGGTCCCCGAGACGCGCTGCTGGGGGGAGCGGCGGGGAGACGGAGGCCCCGCGGGGGAGGGAAGCGCTCGCTTCACAGTGTGTGCTTTCACGCCTTCGCCTCCAGGGGGGGCCCTGCCTACAGCTGAGCTGCCAGTTACGGCGTGAGGCCTCAGCGGCGCCGGCCGAGCGAATGCGTGAACCGACCAAGGCCGAAATCTTTACCGTGGAAGAAACAGGCCACACAGCGCCGAGGGCCCTGCTGACCGACGCTCACCGGCCCACAGACCGAGGAGCGGCTTCGCCAGCAGTGGCTCTCCTGTTACTGCAGTTGCTGACCGCTTCCTTTGCTCCTCAGTGCGTTCCGCACGTTGTTTCCTTGAATATCGGCCCTGTCTCTAGGAGGCAGCAACCTTATCCCCAATGGACAGGTGCCCCGAGGCACCAGGGGTCACACGGCCAGAGGCGCACGGGGGGATTCAGGCCCAGACCCGCTCACAGGCGGGAGACTGACCAGCACTGGCCGCCGGCTCTATGACCACGCCATGCGGGCTGCCCGAGGGCCGCGGGGAGCAACAGCAACACGGTGTGAGCGGAAGCAGGAGAGGGGCGGGGAGGCGGGGGTTAGGCGCGCGGGCGTGAGGGCGAGCAGGCACACCACAGGCATCGTAAGGGCAAAAGGAAATGGAACCACGTACTGTTCACGGTAAGCTTGGCTTTGACCGAGTAGGACGAGCCAAAGTGGTTGGAGATGACGCACTGGTACCTGCCCTCGCTGGCGAACGCCACGCGGCGGAGCCTCAGGACGGTGGTGTACTCCATCACCTCGCCGCCACGCGCCCGCAGGTGCGCGTAGTTCTCCATCTCCGCGTCGTGCAGAAGCTCGTTGTCTTTTTTCCAAGCAAAAGTCATTGGGGAATCGCTGCTGCTGGCGGCCGAGCAGACGAAACTCAAGTTGGAGCCTTTGATGGCCGACTGGGTCTCCGGCTGAACCGTGATCTGGGGCTTGGGGAAGTCGTCTGCCAGCAGAGAGGGGCAGACAAGGCGGCGGTGAGGCCCCGTCCGCCCTGAGCACCGGGGCGCGCCGACGCGGGCTGAGACGCCGCGGGGGGCCTGCGCGGGGTTTGTGGGCTTCAAGTAGCGGGCGAGGGGTGTTTCTCAGAGGCTCCTAACGAGTTTTGGAACTATAGCTTATTCTGCATTTCTTGTGCCTCTTTTTTTTTAACATTTATTTGTGCTTACAGAACCGGGGT